AGTTGAAATTCCCCTTTTTGTCAATTGGTGCCTCCCTGTACAGCTCATCTACCTCTTCATCTGTAAACCTGTCTCCCATAGTCGTCAGCAGCTCTCTCAGGTAGTCTTCTTGAATAAACCCTAGAATGCAGTGTGGAGAGGACATTAAAAAGTTGTTACATTTACAGGCTAACAGCAGGATTTTTTTTGTTTTTGAATCATCTCAAACAAAACCTACTGGCTTTGCTGCCCCATGAAAACAAAGCCTGTTTACAATTTAAGTAAATATTTATTCAGCGATAACACACACAAGACAGTCGACATATACATTCAAGAAAGCAAAGCTGATGTTCACAGCTGTACTTAGTAAGAGTGGAATATAACCATAATTGCTAAATAATTACTAGCATTCAAGTCAAGTCTCATAGCTAATTTGCATGGGTCTCACTACTTAAATAACTTCCATTTGCATGTGTCCTTTCAAAGAATATACAAATTTGTTAAAATATACAGATCAGATATTCCTCCCCATAGAAGGCCTATACTCCCAAATAGTACTGATAGCCTTTTAGCAACTGTGTATTCTACACAAAGGGAATTCATTTGCATTGACCCTTCCTAATGAAGGGCACTGAATAAAAACGGATCAAACTCAGTGTATGACATTCTGCACAAAATGTTTTCAGTATTTCAACATTGGTAACAGAAATTCTCCATAAAGACCCCACAGTTCTGAAGACAATGGGTAGGCCCCATTCAAAAGCTGCCCCTAAGCTGACTTTAAAGTTAAGAAAAATTTAAGATCATGGTTCTTGATCAATGTGTTTTTTCTTCCCTATTGTCTTGAAAAACAGAATGGAAGTGGGAGAAGTCTTGGACTGCTGTGTTTAAAAAGGTAATTTCAGTTACTGAGTAAATGAGAGAATTTTTAGCTGGCAAAAATTAGAATTTTCAGAATTAAATTTTATACTGCAACTTTATGAATATAATTATTGCTACAGATAAAGCAAAACATGCGCACTGTTGTTTTATCTACTTACCTGTCGCTTCCTCATCAAAACAAGCAAAAGCATTTCTGATTACATCTTCTGGGTCCGTGCCATTTAACTTCTCTCCAAACATTGTGAGGAACATAGTGAAGTTTATGGGACCTGGAGCCTCATTCATCATGGCATCT